GTCTTCTATCAACTACCTGCCTTAACTTTTCCAGCATAGTCGAAGAGAACATTTGCTGAGGGTAAACAATAGAATGATATCATTATAGATGCAGTTTTCGGTTGCCCCTTACCCCTTTTATCATTTTCCTAATATTAAAATTTCCAAAATTTGAGCTTATGTAGTTAATTGACATGACTAATTTATTAAAGAGAAAATACGCATTGTCATAGTAGCCATGTTTATGAGGTAAAAATTAGTCGAAATATTATAATTTTAATAATATATGGTCAAGATAGATTCTTCTTCATATGGTTGCAGCAAGTGAATGTCCAAGTCCAAAGTTTACATAAAATTTGTAGAAAAAACGAAAAATTTCACAATCAATTTCGACGGATACGTGTTTGTCATAGATTTACAAAGTGTACGGTTTGTGTCGCGTTGAGTTTTCATATAATTTTTTGTAACATGATTCCAGTTTTAGCTCCAACGCTTCGGAAAGGTAGTTCAGAGTGCGAAAGGACAAGCCGAACTTATCGATTCTTCATGTTTTGATTTGGAACGTCGCGTCTTGACAGACAATGTCTGCGTGGTTTCGCCTTCGCACGATTCTGCTTCAGAAGAACCCGCTGTGAAATTGTTATTCCAGCATCTGGAATCGCTGTTGAGAACGTGAGTCGTTATTTTACAAGAAAGTGGAGCGGTTTTATTAGTTTCATTTCAGCTCGTTTTCAACGTACTATGGCAAATGTATTTTACTTGATTCTCAGGTAACTTATACGACGAGAAGATATGGTGGATATTGTAGTTTCGATAACTTCTCGAAAGAAATTGAAAATCAAAATCTTTGATCCAGTTTCATATTTATATGCTGCGTTAATTCAGCACTCCTTTTCTGCTCTTGTGAAATTATTATGAATAATTTAATAATTCAGACTAATACATTTTATTTGATCACCTGTCCACAGTTGGACTCGCAATCTAACATCTAACTCTTAGCTACGATAGACGCTTCCTCCACTGACAGATTAATATAGATTGCACCTGGTTGACGGCAATATGAACGACTTGCCCACAGCATTTTATCAAGAATGCGTAGTGGCACCAACAACAATTTTGAACATCCGACTCGGTTGGCAATATCATTAATGCTAACATCATCTTTAGCATAAAGCGGGTCGGGCTCTCATTTTCTACAATTATCTCTCTTGTGTCACCCCTATATAATCTGTCCGCCAAAAGGAACTTTCTTTCCTATTGGCAGGTCGATATGCACATTTGTTTGTACTTTCGCATATACACTTTTGTTCCGTTTTTTGACGCCCTGCGCTTTCAATAGTTTGTGCTAAGGGCGTACATTCATAGTGCCTTGTGCGGGGAATACTAGTCACTCCGCGAAAACTCCACAACCCACAATTTCTGACTTTTAATTTACTTTTGCTGACTTTTGCAATGCTGTAAACCATGCCTGATAGTCACCTTTATTAATCATACGAAGATTACTCACTGAGTAGAGCGTCTGCCTGTGAGCTGAGAGGTCCCGGGATCGAGTTCATGTCATGTAATTCGCCTTTCAGAGGCTCATGAATGACTGCCACTATGTGGGAAATTTACAGTAGACTACGCACCATGTTTATGTTTGCAACACAGCTGCTGTCAACTTTACTTCAGAATAATGCAATTCTGACTAATGGCATGGAATTGGAGATAGGCGCTAGACCGGTAAAGATACCAGATAAAGATCGCTAGAAATGGCCCCATCATGAACTTATAAGGAATACCGACGTTCCAAAGGTTAGAAATTTTCTTTCCTTTCTCTTTCTGTTTATCATAAACTTATAACGAGATTTTACTCTTGAAGAAGTAATGAAATTCATGTACATTTCTGAATGTAGTTCATTGGTCCAGTGCTTGATGTGAGATCTTGCAAAATACTCGAAATCTAGTGCTTTAGGCATCGTCAGCGCTTCATTTTGGACGTCGAGATTGGATTTGCCATTTTACATTGTTCTACTGACCGATTTTGCAATCCTGACATAATTTTAGGTAATGTAGTTTTGCATTATTTTTAGGTTTATTTCTAAAACAGAAGATTATTTTTTAATGCTATCGTTTTGAGACGTCTGCCATCACTGAATGCAACAGTTTTCAAATTTTGGTACAGCCGTTCGATTTTCAGTTTTTCAGCACATTGATAAATGAGCTCCTTTCTAAGTTACGACTTTGACGCGCCTGCATGATTTTCATTACCGTTTCTTTCACGAACCTGACGCTATCAGGATGATCTCTGTCACATTGCGGTCGGTCAGAACATATCACTTTTAGAAACAACGTGAACAAGGCGATAGTGCAGTATGTTGACTTCTGGTTCCGTCACACGTAGTGGTTGTAATTTATCCACCGCAGACTGATTAATGACCAGTTTGACCGGGCTTTGAACCTATAATCTTCCTATTGCATGTTCAATGTTCTATCGACTGAACATCTACTCGTTGAGGGAAGCAATGGGATACAACACTCTATAGTGACTAACTACCCGCAGACAATGCCTTCGAAAAGCCGACTCCCCGAGTGGCATCATAGTTAAGGCCTATATAGTTAAAATTTGCATGCCCTAAACGTTGCCAAAACATTGCACCCATCATGAAGTAGAAAAATGATTTACCCAATATCAAAAAACTTTTCAGACTTTTCCTTCTTTTTTACCGGCGGTTCATAAAATAATCCAAATCAAAATCTTGCGGTTTTGTTAGGCTACTTTTAAAAGTTTCAGAACCGGACAAAGGTCGTGAAAAACCATCTTCTAATGGCTGTCGAATCTCAGGAGATGTTGAAGATGCGCCGCCGAGGAAATTCGGTCGAACCGGTAGGTAAAATTCATTGTGTATGAAACTTTTAAGTGCAAGAAGCATAGCGGCATCTAACCGGACTTCACATCTTTCTTGCTCCTAGGAGACGATTTAATCAGACTACCGCTCCATCATATTCTGACATGTGTTAACTTGATTTTTCTCGTGTGTTTTTCGTTATTAGTTCTACATAATATTGATTTTAGATAACGCGAAACTCATGCAAGTCCAAATTTAAAGTCGAATTATACGTTGCCTGAAGAGAGGGGAGGAGGGTCATTAAATTAAATCTTGAACGAATTATATATTACGGTGTGTAAATTCAGACAAATGATGCCATAGGGTCATATAACTCGCTTGACCATGCTTGTTCATTTCAGCGAGGTTTTTTCAACATGGACAAAGAGAGAACCGTGTTTTCTTGGCTCGCTACACAGGCGGTCCTTAAGAACACTAAAAAACTTCTTGGGATGCGAATGAATTCATGAAAATAATCCGTTAGAGTAGGGTCAAAGGAACATCAGAATTAACTGAGGACTGAGGATGAACCGTGGGAAATATTCGCAGCACTTCCTTAGAATACAAAGTTAATTAATAAAGAAAATAGCATTTCAAACTATTAAACGAACAGATTTGGAGACGTCATGAAGAAATTCCTTCGTATGTTGCGAAATGATGAGTAGCAGCTGCAGCGTCGTCGCACCGTTTGCCTGCCTCTATTAGCTTTAGGTACCGTTTTTGCACGTCACGGCTTCATGGTCTATAGTATTTCAGGACCAGCACTGCATGGGTACAGAATCGTATCGCTTTTTTGGGTCAAACAAAATGTTCAAACACCAATGGACGTACTTTAATCTGGAAACACATCTAATAAACATTAACCCCATTATTATAAGTTTACTAGCAAACTGCTGGTTTTCTTTTCTGCCGTGTGAAAATAACAATCTTTCCCATTTCTGGATTCTGACCATGCGATTTTGTGCCCATGCAATGCACGTACTAAAATGTCATTTAAAAGCGTCCTTTGCTTAAATACGCCCTTTCCAGATAATTAGGGAAGGGGTGGTGCAGTACGCCGTGGAGGAA